TATAGGTACACTAGCAGAATAATGTTGGGGAAAGGTATTCTATTTCTGCCTATGTTAACTCTCTTGTAGATGCGTATCGGCTGATAATCTGACTCCTTTTACCTGTAATAAAATTCATTGAAAAATTATTTTTGTATTAGAAAACTTTAAGTTAAAAATTATAATTGTAAAATATTAAGTAAACATAATCTTAAACAGGGATGGCCAACATGTGGCACTAGTAGTACAGGTAGCCTCTGTGTGTGGGCACATGGCAGACTGGGGAGGGAACAAGCAACAGAGCAATAAATAGGGCAGGGAGTAGAAAGCAGAAAGCAGAGGAAAAGATTGGACAAGGAAAGGGGTAGGGGAGGGTGTGGGGCTAATTTAACTTGTGCCACCTGTTCCAAAAATGTTGGCTTCCACTGATCTAGAACATTGTTCTTTTGTGCATTCTCCTTAAGAAAACATAAAAATGAAAGAAAAGTAACATGCATGTAATTTTGATTTTGTGATTAGATGAACTATATGCAACTCTCCAAGGATATGATTGAGCATTTGTCTTCCTTTTTTACATTTTTCATCTGCTAAAAATAAGAAATGTTTTCCATGTTATAGAATTACAGTATACACACCTTATATTGTTCTTATTCATAAATATTGCTGTACATTTATTTTTAGACGTTCAGGATTGCGGTTTCATTTTAGTTAATAAACTTCTGGGACTTAAAATTTTTTGTAGCATACAATTATTCTAGTCTCAAGCCAGTACAGATAAGAAAATCACAATTTCTGCATGATAGTAAAGATCAAACTTAATACTATACTTACAGGTTTCTCTTATATGTTGATCTGAGGGTCAGTTTGTAGAGACAGTTGTGTACAATATGTAACAAGTCATCAGTTAATATCTGTCAAATACGGGTAGCCTCAAAATATTCCTTATCATCCAGCATATACATATACAGACTTCCTTTTTGTTCTTAGTGTTTCAAACTTCTAAATCCTATTAACAGCTGTCAAAACCTGGTAAACTATTTATATGCTTCCACAATTTGTTTAATTGGATAGTTAGGGAATGGCATACAAGAAAAGCTCTTTATTTTATTTTTTTTAGTCTGGCTGAACATCTGTAGCATTAGGGGCTCATTATCTCTGAATTGACATAGCAAATCAGCAGCATCATTAAAATGCCACATTAAAATGATTAAGTTTCTTTGTTATCAAGTTGGCTTTTGTGTGTGCTGAGGAAATTTCATTATTATGACCCCACTCCGTGTAAAACACTTGAGTAGCATCCCCCTTTTGTGCTGTTGCCTTTATTGGCTTTTGATTCTGTGTGTTTTGTACTGTGATTGAGCAAACTTTCTTACTTATGGAAAACATGTTTTTTCTAAGTTTAGGGTTTTGGCTTAAATATGGTAATAGATGTTTTTTCCTCTTGGGAATTCCTCTTAGAGAATATAACCAAGACAACACAATAACTTTTCTGAAATGTTTGTTATTATTACTTCTTTTTTATTATTATTCTTGCATTTTATAGAGCAATACATGCACAGTTACTGTGGTGATTCAGTTTGATGTTGTCACCGCAGGTTTATATTTGGATCTATTCCAGAACCTTTTGTTTTTACAGTGTTTCAGGTGCAACAAAAATACTCCGGAGTATGTCTTTCATATCATAATCATCACCCCAGGAAATGAAACCATGTGCATCAGCCTTAACGCATCAAACTGGCACTTTGTTGTGTAAAATCTACATTTTTTTTCTGTTGGGTGTATTGCCTCATGTGGGGCCCCAACAGCACAGTAATTCAGGTTAGGACAGATAAAGTACTTTTTTTTTTCTTAACCTCTTTGCTTTCCTGAAGGTAGAAGAGGCAATCCTTTATTTTTTCATTAAGAAGTTGATACATATCTCACTGTGGCCAGTAGGAACAGTTTTGTTCTTCCTCACTATAATTATTTCTCTCCTACTTGGTCATGCAGCTATCTTCCTTTTAGTTGAGGAAGCCTAGACTGGAAATTCCAGAACATTAGAGCATTTCTTTAAGTGGCATGAATTATCTCTGCACATCCACCAATGTTCATACTCCATATTGCTTCTTATGCCAGTCGGCCTGCAGAGCAAGGAGTCAGGACTAGAACCTGAATGTGTTTGCTGCTGGTTGGTGCAGACCTTGCTACTTACTGACTTTAAATAGGTTATTTTTTCCTTTGGAAACAATAGCATGACTACTGCTGTGGGTTTTGTTCTTTAATACTCGCATAATGAGGGACCTTGCTCCTAACATTTTATGATAGGGGAGGGTCACATTTTTCTTCTAACATTCACTCCAAATGAAATAATTCTTCCCTAATAGCTTTTGCTTTCTACTGCTTTTATTTGTCAGTAGCAGCAGTTTTTCCGTTAAGGCTCTTTTAACGCCTACATGCAAACTGAAAAGCACTCAAGCTTTGGTGGGATATCACTTACAGCTGGAGTGATGGTGATGATTTGAGGGGAGGGGGTGGAGACAGCAGCAGTGGTGGTGGTGGTGGTTGAAGGCCCTTGATCAGAACTCAGGTGCATCCTTCTCATTTATTATCAGAAAACAAAAACATTGCCAGTAGACAGCATGTAATATGGAAAAAGGAAAAGGCAGTTATTTTCTACTATAGGATCATGGAATGGCCTACCCAAACTATACTAGTTTGGCACATGTGTGCCATAGGGAACTCAAGCATAAAGCTCATGCATATGATCTGCATAAACATTGACATACTTCTATAAAAGAGCAAAAGATTGTGAATGATATGGTAAGAAACAGTAGAGGTCTGTACAGAAGTCTTCAGTTAGAGATTATAGCCAGTCCTACTGCACAAAGCAACTGCACTTAGTACAGAAAAGAAAGACATTCATAAGTGGAAATTGAAACTATTTCTGAAGTACCAGATGTGTGCTGCAATGTGTACTTTTTTAAACATTTTGTGTAGGACTTGATTAAATATTTTGGAAGAATTGCCTACTTACATGAAAAAATGAATGTGTTTGGAAAAGAGTTTTTGTTTAACATTCCCCTTAGCAACAAGCAGAAAATATTCCCCCACATTATGCCACTAGAAACCACTAATTTTTGGTTGAATCCTCTCTGAATAACCCCCAACACGTGTGTGGCCTTGGGGTGGCAGCAAAAAGCAGAAAAACCCTGTCCATGTGACATTTGACCTCTCTACCCCTAACAAAACTGGATGAGTTTTTGGATATGTGGGCTCTGGGAAGCCTATTTCATTGGTCATTCTAGGAATGAGAGAGAAACTGACATCCTATTGGCAAAAAATGCTTTCTCATCAACAGGACCTCCTATGGATTTCTCCATAGGATGGTGGATCAACTGCCACTTACCTGGTTCTCCCACCCTGCATTATCCAGAAGTAAGGCCACAGGTATAAAAAATACCTTAAGGAAGAAAAGGAGATATTCTTATGCAGAAATATACTTTGTGGCTGCATAATTTTCTGACCTCAACACAAGCATTTAGGTTGTAGGGATATTTTTTTGTTAAGCTTGGGCTAAGAACTTTGGAATTTGTGAGAAGGTTTATTGCTGGCTTTTTATTTTTTAATACTTCTTTTACCCTATCACCTCAGTTTCACTGGCACTAATAGTTCTTTTTTTAAATCTCATGTGGTTTCTTTAGCAGATCCAGAGATAATGCAGTTTCAGTAGTCCATGTTCTGGAGAAAGGGCAAGAGTCTTAGCTCTTCACACAAAAGGAAGGCAATATTTAACTGTCTTACCTTCAGCTCTTGAAAGGAGCAGTGGCTATGAATGCAACACTTTCAGATGGAAAATTGCATACTTTCTGTCTGAGGGTTTGTCTTCATTGCATTGTTAGTCTGAGGCATAACTCAAGTTTTGTCCCTAACTTGACTTCTGTCTACACACAGAAAACTAAAGCTTGAATTAAGTGGTGCTTTAAGTCTAAACTAGTTGGCTTATTTGGTGGTATAAAAATGAAACTTGAGTGCTGCTGACATTTGTCTGTAATGAAATGGGGAAACAGCAAACTGAGTTGCAACTAATCAGCTGCTAATCCAGTGCAAATGGCTCTTTTTTCATTTCTGGAGTATTACTGTCTTCTGAGCGAGGGGTTATTATTTATAAATGGTCACCTGCTTATACTACAGCCCTGTCTTGCAAAACCCAAGAGATTATCTTTGAATTCTATTTTCTCTGCATGGCTAACATAAGGCCAGAGGCATTTAGGAGAAGGAATACAGCATCATCTAGACACTGATATTCAGGACTCCCTGGGTTCTTTGCCACACTTTTGCTATGTAGCTTTAGACAGATCTCTTAATATCTCTAGAGGAATTACCTTTGCCTTTGCTATGCCTAATTTTATTCATTCTTATAACATGTTCTATAAAATTAGTGCATACTTCTAATGCATTTGAGATTGTTGGATAACATTGCCATTTGAAGTAAAAGTTAGTATTTCTCATGAGTACAGTTCAGGAGAATGAAAATTTGATTTTTTTTATCCTGCAATCTTATCAGAACATCGGAAACATATTGGATTAGACTCAGGGTTTATCTAAGCAGCAAACACCAAATGGATCAGAGGAAGATGCAAGAATACTCTACAGTCTTGGTCTCGGCAACATCCTGTGACAATGATTTCCATTGTCTAATTACACACCGTGTTAAAAAGCATTTCCTTTTATATATGGTAGAGTATATGCATTACAATAATCATATTCTGTATAGTGTACTATGAGTTTTATAAATGCAAAATAGCCCATCAAATCCAATTAGCAAACAGCTTTATTTTTTGTCAGAGATACTTCTTAATATTGTCATTAGAAATGTAGGACCAGTGCCATATCCATCTTTCTTTGTCTTTTTGGTTGCAAATGAAATTTGAGCAGTTATTTTATGTATAATTTTATTTTAAATTATATGAATTTGTTATAGAGACAATTTGTGACTTCTAACAATCGTTTTTCATTTTTGTGATTTTATCTTTCATCTGTAGATGATTTGGTTAAAGTGAAGGGAGAATACAGTGAAAGAGAAGAGAATTCATTGAATTCAGAGCTGATGGAAAATACAGAAGAGCCTGAAGCATCTTACACTTATCCAAGAGAATATAATGAATATGAGAGCATTAAGCTGGAGAGACATTCTGGTCCATATGACAACATCAGGCCAACTAGTGGAAAGATGAACTGTGATATCTGTGGCTTAGCCTGCATTAGCCTCAATGTTTTGATGGTTCACAAGCGCAGCCACACTGGTAAGTATCTCTATATTATTCATGCAAGAGCTACATATTGAAAGCATATGATTTTAGAGGGATCTACTGGTTAAAAGTGGGTAGGATCCTAGGATTGCTGGCTCCTTGCTTCTGTTCCTGACTCTGCATATGTGACTTTCAGCAAGTTACCTAAGCTTTCTGTGCCTTATTTCATTTATTTACACATTAAGTACAATGATATTTAGCTGTCTAATTCGGGCGAACGTTTGGAAAAGCATGGTTGTGAGGTTTTTTGAGAATTTGGGATGAAAGGCACTAGAACTTCTTCTCTTAAGCACCCCGGTCAAAAATCATGAGTTAAGTTGTTTTGCTTGGCTCCTGGATCATGTCTCTCTTTGTACTTTGCCTAGCAACAAACCAACAATCACAATGAATACAGACCTAAAAGAAGGAAAGATTTTTTTTCCTAAAATTTGTTAGCACTTTACAATCCTCCTCCTCCAGAACAATTATTTCCAGTCCACAGAAAAGACAGTACGTTTGATATGTTTCTCATAAATGGAATTGGAGTGGATGCATTTTGCCAAGTTCTGTCACCAGACCCCCTTGGAACTTCCAGTAAAATCAATGGAAGTAGCATGTCTAAGCACAGGAATTGATCCAGTATCTATCTCATTCTTTCCTGTTTCAAAAAGGAAAGGGTGACGGGAGGTGTTACCCATGTAACCATTAAATTTCCTTTTTTGTATGTCATTTTAAGGTGAACGGCCATTCCAGTGTAATCAGTGCGGAGCTTCCTTTACTCAGAAGGGTAACCTTCTCCGCCACATTAAACTACATACAGGGGAAAAACCTTTTAAATGTCATCTTTGCAGTTATGCCTGCCAAAGGAGAGATGCGCTAACAGGTCACTTAAGGACACATTCTGGTAAGTGACTACAAAGACACTTCACCTGTTATCAATGTGTGTCACTAGGACATCAGTTGTGGTAAATAAAAAGGGATAATCAATGATGTTTAATCTGCCTGTCTCATTCTGGTGAGTTAAAAATTAGCAAGGACCTCTAGGTTTCCTTATAGTTAATTCCAAGTAGGGATTAATTTATGGTCTTCTGTATAGGGTGTGCTGGAGGAAAGAATTCATAGACAGCTCTACTTCTATGAGAAAGTGCTATGATAAAAGCTTAGCTACTGTATTTCATTGCACTATATAACCTCTGGGTGTAGTCTGTCAGTTGGGTGATGTGGCCAAGCCATCAACCTCCCAGTTTTTGAAGCAGAAATAAAAAATGTTCCTTTAGAGCTATGTCATCAGAATGACTCTCTTGGATGACAATACTCTACTGCTGAACAAGACCTTACCCTTATTTTTAGTGCCTTTCATCTGAATATCTTAAAGAGCTCTACATGTTGGTTAATTCTTTCAATGCCCTAATAAGGTCTTTTAATCATTTTATAGATGGGAAAGCAGAGGCACAAAGCTGTGGTAACTTCTCCCAGAGCTGAAAGTCACTCATAAAATCAGGAATCGAACCAATAAACTCTGTCCTAATCCTGTTCTTTAATGGCCAGATCTCACTTGCTCTGATTTTTACATATCCTGTATTACATATAGATTTCAGAAAAAAGCATTAATTTTGAATAACTGATATTATCTATGGTATTACACTTCATAGAAAAAAGGCTTAACTCCACAAAGAGTCCATTTAAAGTGAAATGATTTGACATGAATAAATAAGATCATGATTTGATCAGGTTCCAACACAGCAATACTGAATTCAGTCCTGCATCAAGAGTGAGATAGAATTTCATGTTTCAAACACCTCTCAGTCAGCAAAACAGTAGCCCACTTTTGCACAGTTGCCAAACTATGAGAATTACTGGTAATAATCTTACAGTCAGAAGCTTTTTGTGAATGAGTTAGGAAGAAACAAATAAATAAGACTTCTATTAAAAACAATAAGGAGGCTGATTAGTTGGTAATAATTTACATTAATAATATTATCATGGTATCAAAAGATACATATCTATTACAGATGTGTTTTTATATACTACCTGGATATTTCTGTCATCACACAAAGTGCTGTATTTGCTTTGTTCAAACCTAGTTAAAAAATCTCAGGCATATTTTTAGGAATTCTTTATAAACTTAACAAATTTCTTAGGGTGAAACTCATATCCCTGGGCCTCACAAAAAACTGACTAATCTATTGGGTTTGGGGGCAGGGTACAAAATCTATATCTGTACCTCAGAACAGGCTTGCAGTGCAGCCCTCTTCAATGAAGCCTTAGGGTATAGAAGTCTGTGTAAACACAAGTCTAGTAACACCTCCCTTTGGTAAGCAGCCACTGGCCTTTTGTCTTCCTACTTGCCCTAAATTACAGTTCTCCTTTGGCAGATAAGATTCTTAGGGTAGATCTGATATCTTTTATTAGACCAACTAAGACAGTTAGAAAAATTATTCTTTTCAAGCTTCCAAGTACAAACACCTTTCTTCAGGCAGAGGGAGCATCTGCAGTTGGGTGTTTGTACCTAAAAGTGTGTTTGTACCTAAAAGCTTGCAAAGAAGAATTTTTCCAACTACAGTAAAAGCTCTGTTATATGGCATCCCACAGGAATGGGGGATGCCGGATAACAAAATATGCTTGTTGATTGAGCGGCCCCAGCTGCTGCTTCTCCCACCGCATCTGGGGTGTCCCTCCACCCCTCCCACAGGCCCTGCGGGATAGGGGGGCGGGCCCTGCACAGCCCCGCACAGCCTGTTATGCCCCTGAGCTGTGGGGGCTCATCAGCACAGGCTCCTTTGCCCCCAGCCATGGGGGCTCAGAGAAACTGGAAGTGCTGCGGTGGGCACTTCCAGTTTCACTTTATCTTACAAGCCAGCATGCCTTTTAGTAGAGCATGCTGGCTTGTAAGATGCTGGATAGCGCAGCTTTTACTGTATTTTAGTTGGTCTAATAAAAGATATCAGATCTACCCTAAGAACCTTGTCTGCCTACATCCTTAGACCAACACAGCTACAACCAACACACCCTGAGTTCTCCTTTGGTGCTTTCGTAGTGTATAGAAGACTTCTGCTGTAGTATGCCAATGGTGGACTTAAGGAATGAAGAGAACCTTTTATGGGCTCTCCATACCAGAATGAATCGCACTATTAAATAACCTTAATAGTACAAATACAATGTTTTCTCCAGTTATACAGAAACGTGACGTATTCTCCAGTTATGAGCTATCAATAATTCTGTACTAGAATGTCAAAACACAGTGTTTCTTCCACATATTTTGATTATTTTGCCCTGCTGTCATTCTGTCCTAGTGGAGAAGCCATACAAATGTGAGTATTGTGGACGGAGTTACAAGCAAAGAAGCTCATTAGAGGAGCACAAAGAGCGATGTCGGACTTACTTGCAGAGCGCTGGCATGTGTGAGCCTGGTAAGTTTGTCAAATCACAGTGTTTTGTTTTGTACATTGCAGTGCCTTAAAAGGGGCATCTGGCAAGCTGTTAATTTGCAGCTTGAATATAATTTTCACTACAATAATTTTCAGTAACCCAAGGGCTTCAGATCTTATAAAAGGGTCTAGTTTAATGCAACCCTCAGGCAGCTGGTTAAAGAACACTTTTATTTTAATCACTTCTTTATTTTACAGTTACTTTCAATAAAACATCCAGAATACTTTGTACACAGCATTTCTGTAGGTGACACTCACATTAAGTTAAATTAGTTCTATATTAGCACTATTATGGGGTTTATTTTATTGGATGAGTTGGTTCCCATTTTTTCTTTACAGCAGAGGCTTACATCTGTGTGTTCCTTTTACAGATATTTTTCAGTAGAATACTATTGGCTGTTTCCCAATGCATCCCAATATGTAAGAATTTGAAAATGTTTAAAATTGCAGTAATTGAGATTTAGGAGTTAGAAATGAGGTGGTATCCTTAAAATCCTTAGAGTAAATCAAATTTTGCTCTGGACAGAAGCTAAAGGCTTGGGGGATGGAGTTATTACAGATTAGCTATTCAGAAATAAATTATTCTAATATTATAAAGCCTTAGTCTGTCTGTATGTCTGTCTATCTGTAACACTTTATTCGCACTCCTATTGGTTGTCTGAAACAATCAATCAGAGTGCTGCAAGAGCATTTTGGACAGGAGGCGGTGGCGGCAGTGAGGTGGAGCGCCGCCATGATGACAGGGATGGAGTGGCTGGAGTGGGGCGACGAGACCAGTGCAACTGGCCATTGCAAGCAGCAGCAACAGAACAGGGGAGCCAGGCCAGTGCTGCTGGCCTCACCCCGCCTCCCCCGCCCCTGCTCCCCGCAGGTGGTGGTGATGGAGCTGGAGTGGGGAGAAGCCAGTGCCAGTGGCCTTGCCCTCCCTTCCCACCCCTGCTTCCTGCAGGCGGTGGCAGCACAGGGTGCTGACTGAGGGGGATGGAGGGGATGTGGGGGCAAGCTTCCCCCTTCCCTTCCCCACCTCTGCTCCTGGGAGACAGCAGCACTCCATCCCTGCCCCCGCTATCATTCCTGAAGGGCGATTGGCTAGTTCTAGAGTAACTCTGTGTGTGGATTCTCTAACTGCAAAATAAGAATGCTTTGTTGTTCTTTGGTTTAATCCATTTTGAGAGTAGACTAAAAATAATATTCATACATGGAATTATTATGGAATAGCTAATGCACTTTAAATTCACATCCTACCTTAATCTAAATTAATTTACCAGTGTAGCCAAGACCTCAAATGGAAAATATTGACTAATAATTAAAGAAATGGAAGTATTCATAGTATGTTTAATTCTATTGCACATGGTGGATTAACATAGTTCAGCTTGTGACCAACTAAATTGCCTGACTAATAGAGGGACAGTTCTATTACCCACTCTGGTCATATAAGTGCCCTCATTGCAGGAATAGGATTGCCCTCTGGAGACATGAAGATTTTTCCTTATTCATACAATAAGGTGCTTATGCGCCCAGAGGGTACAATAAGGTATTTCACTTGGTGAAATAGAATTCTGTCCAAAAGTTTTGTGTTCTATTAGCTGTCACATTTTTATTTGGCATTTGAAGGGAAGCCAGGAAACTGGCATATAGGTTGATTCATAGAGTGTTAATATTTGGTAATGAGTTTCTGTTTCTTAGAAGAGTTGAGCTGCTTAAATAACTGGCATAGTATTCAAAGCCTAGGTTATGATGCTTTTTATTCTAAATTGAAGCAAAATAAAATAAAAATAACATTATTCTTCTGAAGATAGTGCCTAAGATGTGTAATGACCAGAAATAGCTTATTGTTAATGCAGGCAATCTGATGTTACATTCTCTTTAATCCTCATATTTTTCAGGTGCTAGAATTCCTTTATTGGGAAGGGAACATTTGTCTCCTTTTTAGAAAGCTCATTTCTGGTAACAGTTTGCATCTTTTATTTTTCTTTTTGCAATCCCAGTTCATCAGTTCTGGATTTCTGAAAATATGTCACTTACAAAAATAAAGTGATACCACTCTGCCCTCCTATAGCTCCTTTCATTGGGGAATTTTAAAGCACAGACTTCAATTAATTAAACCCAACTAAATGTAGGAAAGTGTTTGTATCCCACTTTATTTAGGAAAAGAAAGGTTGTGGTTTGACTTGCTAAAAGTTTACAGAATTAATCAGTAAGTGAAGTCTAACATCACAGAGTTCTGGCTGGCAGTCTTCTTCTGTAACAGCTAGAAAATACTTGCCATGAAAAACAGGCATAAAGGGCCAAATCCTGTATCACTGATATACACCTAAATATATACGTGGCTTATGTGGCTCCATAACTGCTAACTTTGGCCCTTAATGCCTCTGGCACAGTGTAGTTAATATTATTTGACTAAAAAGCAAGCAATGGGATAACTGTCCCCCATTTGGAGGAAGACCCTGAATGCAAATCCAAAGCCAAACTGGGTCTCCTGCTTCCTGGGAAAGAACCCTAACCATGATGCTTTAGGGGATGGGTGGGCAATTATTTGGGCTGCAGGGCCACTTAAGGAGTTTCAGTGAGCTGTTGCTGGCCGGAGGAGGGAGATGCTGATCCAGTGTGATGAAGGGGTGGGGGCCTGACCTGGGGTTGGGGGGGAAGTGAATTGATCCTTTGTAGCCCATGGCCCGTCCTCCCCCACCCACCATCAGGGACATTGGACAGAGCAAGTGGAAGAGGTCTCTATGGATACCAGCCTGGGACCCCCGCAGGCAGAGTGTGCTCAAGCAGGCGGATGGGATGGGGCCATGGATGGGCAGGGAGCAGAACAGGTGGGCAGGGCCATGATCATGGGACAGAGACAGCACAGGGAGGGGGCCCAGGACAGAATTACAGTCTGCTCCCCATGTGTACCTGCCTGCAGAACTGGTGCCCATAACAGGGACATGCAGAGAGTGGATTGTGGCTCTACCCTGGGCCCTGGCACTACACTGTCACTACCCTGCTATCCCGGTCCCACCTACCCATCCCACTCCTGGATGCCACTCCCACTGTGGGCCAAGCACACCCTGCTCACAAAGCTACTGGCCACTCTCCATGGGGACCCCATCCACCCACCCTCCCACTCAGGGTCTGCATCCCCAGCAGTAAGTGTGGAGCTGATGGGCTGGGGTGCCCAGGCAGTGGGGCAGGTCCAGCAGCGGTGTCAGAGATGCTGCCAGCAGCAGCCAAGCAGAATGAGCTGCTGCTGCAGGGGCTGCCAGGAAGCCAAGTCTGTCTGCTGTACTGACCCTGCCCTACTGGGTTTCCCAGGGACCACGGGACCAGATTTTGCCCACCCCTGCTTTAGGGCCAAATGATTGGCCTGCTACTGCCTTACTTCTGACAGCTATATATATACTTGAGAAATTCTTTTTTGACACAGGTGGAAATAGAATCCAAGTGATATGCAAGTGCCAGAAATTGCAGTTACAGAGCTATGTAAATGCCACTTGGGTGCAGAAAGGAAAGTAGGATTTAGGCCAAAGTATCAAGCAGTTTACAGGGGGTTCTCAGTTTCAGTTTCTATTCAATTACATTTGGTTCTCTTTTTTTTTCTGAGGCAGAAAACTTAAATGAATGATTACTTCTGATGATAAAAGTGAAAATTAAGATAGAAACCAAGCAGAAATTAATGTGGAGTGTTTAAAAAAAGCAAAATTCCCTTAGCAGACATTATTATAAAAATGTATATATTCAAATATCTGAGGGCCTTAGACTGCGCAGCACACAGGCAGACCTCACCAGCCATCTTGGTTTACTGGGGCTATGTACGGTCCTCTCTATTTGAGTTCCAGTCCCTTACAGAGATGCCTGTAGCATAAAATGTTGCACAACAAAAAATTAATAAAATAATGATTTATAGAAGTAAATTTCATTTGAGTTTGATAGGGTGCTTTGTTTTTAGCATGTAACATACGTCTTAGGGTATCAGTCAAAGTACATGGTGAACTGTGTCAGCAAGGTTTTGATTTTCATGACAGCCCATACATATTATAACGGCATTATGCTTCATATATGCAACATATGCTTCCATGGTGGCAATCATACTGAGATGTCCAACACTCAGAAATGTGGTCCTGAGAACTTTATATCTATTGTAGTTTTCTGCTTTACAGTGATTCTCATAATTGGTACTCATTTCAGAAAGGCAACATTTAACTTATCCAAAATCTGTGAAATGCAGTACCTAGTAAAGTAGTACAGTATGCCATAAATTGGTCACAGAGGAAATATAAATTTCCAGTACAGTATTATGCATCAGTATGTTCTATCTTTAAGACCTTCACACCTTAAAAACACTGATGTGTTTTTAATGGTTTTGTAAGTTTTATGAAAAACAGGAACTCCAATCTTGCTGAGGCATTTCCATTCAACTCTCAACTGATTTGTGCAGTGGTAGATCAGAGAAATGTAGGGCGGGAAGAGACCTCAGGAGATCATCTACTCCATCCCCCTATTAGACTGAAGTGGAAGAAGTATATCTAGACCATTACTGATACATGTTTACTTAATCTGTTCTTAAAAACTTCCAATAAATTAGAATTAGATTGGTTTGACATTATTTGTTCTTTATAAATCCATGCTGACTGCTTCTATTATCCTATTACAGTGTTTTTCAACTGTGGTTTGTGGACACCTGGGGGTCTGCAGACTATGTCTAAGGGGTCCATGAAAGATGCCTATGATCAATCAAATGTATGTGAATACCCACACTTAAAATTCAAAGGGGTCCGCACGTCCATGCAAAATTTCCAAAGGGGTCTGCATCTTCATTCAAAATGTTTTAGGGGTCCACAAATGAAAAAAGGTTCAAAACCACTGTCCTATTATCTTCTCTGTACTTATAAATTAATTGCTTAGTAATTTGCCCTAGTATCTTTTTGGGTATCAAAGTAAGGGTCAGTGACCATGTCCTTCTGTTGTGCTATTTTTAAAGATAAGCACTGCCTTTA